AGCTTAATAGGTGGYCGCTTAATAGAGGTACCACTGTAGTTTTCTTTTTTTCAAATCTTAATAAAAGCCACTTTTTTACTCCTAGACCTAGGTAAAGTCCTAAAATTCTTACAAAATTCATTTTAGAATTGTTGAGATTCTACAAAATTYTTCTACAGAATCCACTGTAGTGTGGAAATGCAAGAAAAAACATGTCATTGATGTTTGTGGTTGGGATCATGACAAGCTTTTTTCCAGCATTTCCACACTCTGGTAGATTCTGTAGAGAACAAGGTATACTTTTCTCATGGCCTAGGTAATGTAGTAACTATATCTTTTAAATTCTTTATTTTAATACTTGTAATTTCTGAAAAATGCTGGACTAATTCTTCTTCTCTTCATTGCTGGAGGATTCTAGATTTCAATCTCTAAACCATGTTATTTATATTGATATACTTATCGTTGGTCGATGATTCCTGTCTTCAGTAGTGATTGACTTGATCTTGATGGTGCTGCATCATCTCACAAAGGCTTTGCAGCACCACAGCTTGGTATGACTGAATACGACAGATTTGGTGAAGCTATAGAAAATAAAAATAAGAGGAAATTGTCAAAATCGTGTTGCCTGTTTTAGTAACACACATCAGATAGGATCAGATGGCAGAGTTATATCTTAGTTTGAAAACTACAGTAAGCATGGGTAGCACAGCAGTAGGAGCACTCTTCTCATGATCACCAAGGCAATGTTCGTTACTGGACTTGGTGTCATATGTGAGTAGATTTGCTCAAGGTTTCCCTCCTGTACTTCAAGGGTTTTTCTCTTGGGCCCCAGTTTTCTTCCCTACACAAAACCRGCTTTTAGATTCCGATAGACCTATCCTGAATTCGCTTGACTGGTCACGAAACAATGGTTTCAAATCGAGGTTGAACTTGATAAATAAAAGAATCAAGTTCAGTCTCAACTTCAAACCATTGTTTAGTGGTCAGTCAAGCAAATTCGGGATAGGTCTATTGTCAGGGCTCATTGGAAGAAGAGCAACTCTTTGAAATTGCCAAAGTTCAATTTGATGTACAGTACTTATTGAGTGCAAGTCTTAAGGTTCTGCTAAGCTGTGCAATTTTTCCAGCAATGACTCACAATGCTTGTAACATCGYAAGTTCCCAAGGTGAAGTGTTACGATGCAACGCAATTTCAGTAATGATAATGACAATGATWTATGATTCATGATTTACTGACAATGTATAATGCTCTTTCTATATGGATATAATCCAGGGCACTTTACATTGAGTTGTGAATGACAGATTGCATTTATGCAATTTAAAAGCATGAGAGATGGTTAGTATGAAGTGTAGGCACTGAGGGTGTTCACTGCCAGGGTTTCTTAAATATTACATCCTCAGTGGTTCTTTTACATCCCTCCGATATTGGTTAGTAATGATGAGTGTGGAGAGAAGGRAACGCCATTTAAAGTGGTCGTCCGAGCCACTTGAAAGTCTAACCATTTGCAGATGTAATTACAAAGGCAGCACTTTCTCCTCAGTCATTTTAAGACCCTGAGTGTTGGTCTGGCCGGGACTCTAAAAGTCTGATGCTCAACCAACCGAGCCAACCCGTTGGTGGTTTAGCAACSTGCAACATATTTTGCTTCTCAGGAAAAAATGAGAAATGTAAACATACATTCTTGAAAAATGCCTTAAAATCGTGAGAAACATTATTGGAGGGGTCATACACTGTGCAATTGTTGATGTCTCTAGCATGAGTATTTCAATAGACAGAAAAAGAGAAAGAGATTTTGCAGGTTGTCAGTGCTCATAAAGGAGACTGGCCTTAATGAGAATTTAATTTTTCATATAAATTTGAATGTAGCTTTATTTCTGATAAAGTCATCCTCATTAGTATTCTTTATGTATAAAGACACAAGTCATTAAATGAAATTTCTTTGAATACTAAAATGAAGAGGATTTAATTGGGTACAAAGGTCCAAGAATATGATGTGTGTGGTCACTAAAACACTATGTACAGTATGTCACTATGATGTCACAGCTTGTTCATAAGGGAAAGAATGGCCAGCAAAAAAATAATTGGGACTCCTTTTCTTCTACAGCTGAATTGATACGTGTACATGTAGTTCTGAATATGTCTGGTTTTCAAATATTTTATAAACCTGTGTTTATCCTACGATATATACGGTATATGGTTGGTATTATTGCTTTCGTAAGTTCTAAAAGTACTTATTGGGCTTACTGGGCTATTTCTTCTTTTATTTTGGGCTATACGTCTAATATTGGGCTACTGATTTCTAAGCGTAGGGAATATCAATATGTGAATTCGCAAAACGCAATACTATATCTCCCCCCCGATAAAACCTGGTTTTTAAAAGAATATGGAACCGTAATGGTAATCTTATAGCTTACCATTAAGTAAGCTTAAGATTTTTAGTTTAAAACTGATTCAGTGCAAAAATGAAAGGACAGTTCAAAATAAAATGCTCTGTTGAAGGACGAATGTTTTTTGGAAGGACCCAGAAAACAATAAATAAACCTTACCTTTGTAWTTGTATGGATTAGTGTAGTATATAAGCATTTCTTACCGGATAAAGGTAGTTTTTTTTAGCCATGCTTTTCTTYGTCTTCCGCCATCTTGTGTGTTTACGTTTTTGACGAAGCCCACACAGCATCGTGGGACACCACAGGSATACCATGTAGAAAACAAACAGTTACCACAGAAAGCCCATACAAGCTTTAAGAACTGAATGAAATTTAACGAAAAAAATAATAATAAAAGCTAATATTTACTCACATGAAGTGTTACTTACGTCGTTCTTGTTCTTTAGTAGTGATTTCAAACCACTACAACTTCATGTGAGTGAATATTAGCTGTTATTATTATTTATTAGTTCTCAAAGCTTGTATGGGCTTCCTGTGTAGTTACCACTCCTTTGTCGCGTTGTGGGAAATACGATTCTTTAAACGTTCACAGTACTTTTTCACGATACCACTACCACCATTATCCACCACCATTAATTGGTCATCATCGTCATCATCAATATTACCATGACAACCACTACCACCATTATCCAACACCATCGGTCATCATTGTCATCATCATAATCACTACCATACCACTCTTTCAATATATTATCAAAAACCATCAGAATTGACCAGAATTGAGTGATAACCATGTATTGGTAAACAAACATAAATGCCTAATAGCAGATATCCTAGTTACACTCTATTGCCTTCAAACAATTCAAGTCGAGACATTTGGGGCAATACAATAAAATGTATAGACAATATGTAACCAGTGAAAGTCGCAAGCTAGTGGAATCCCATGGTTAATATAAAGAAAACTACTGAATACTCAACCATTTCTTTTATTTATCACTGCCAAAATCTCTCGTGAAATGACTGATGAACCAACCAGGGCTGTTGAAACTACACATGCACAAGCAGTAGACTAGCCTCCATATTAACTTTTTAGTAGTCATTATGCTTGAGTCAATGAAAACCCCRACCCCTTTGCCGCCCCGGGACAAATGTGGGACTCAGAGGGGGATAATTGGGGAATAAACAGCCAATCTCCAACCCCACCTCCCCAGGGCTGTCAACTCTCCCGGATAAACCGGGAGTCTCCAGATTTTGGACCGTGTCTCCCGGTCTCCAGATTAGAGTATCAAATCTCCCGGATAATCCCCGAAGCTGACCATTTCTTGTCTTGTGAGACTAGACTTTCACAACCATAAAATTCCAATTATTTCATGTTSTTTGTGTTATTTTACATCGCTAACAAAATCAAAACGTTCCTCATGAACTGTTCTTGCAAGCAGKCCATTGTAATATAAGCGATAATCTGATTGGTCAGAAATAAACCAATCACATCAAATGTTACAAAGCGAAAGACGTCTTTTCGCGCGCTTTTTGACGCGCTGTGACGTCATGTACCTTCCTATCAATTCTCCAGATTTGAATATCTTTAGGGTTGACAGCCCTACCTCCCCCCACAAGGTGGGGCATTAGTCACTATTAGCAATAAAACCGGCCCCTGGGGAAGGGGCATGGGTGGGGGATGTATACTGAGCCCACAAAATCAGCAGCTGTCCACRAGAAATAAAAGACTGAAAGCCAGCCAATTATATAGGGATAATCAAGACAGTTCCTGGGGTGGGGGGGTTTAAGGTATAGGATATCCACACGAGAATGAGTCATTATTAGAGGTTTGACCATGTAGTGGCATTAGGTTGAGGTGATGGTTTGATTATATCTAACATCTTCATTTGCGCTTTATAAATAATAAATAGTAAATTGGAAACTCCCGATTTTTTACATAATTTTCATTTAAGTGCGATAAAAATAAACGTTATGTAAGGAATATAAAATGGCTGCGAATGTCTCAGCACTGTGATATAAACACGCTGGGAGCTATAAGAACAAAAGAGAAGGAAACTTATAGTAGCACTAACTTGCTTTGCAAGTGCTCTACAGCTCAGTGTTTATATCACAGTACAGAGATATGCATGCCCGTTTTATATTSCTTTTATAAAATAATTGTGCACAATTTTGCGCAAGTTTCTCTGTCCTCTGATATAAACAATTGCGCGTTAGAGAGCAAACAATATAACCGTGAAACTTTAGTATAATACTAAATAGCACAATGTCATGCAAATTCCATTGTTTTCTATTGTTTAATTTGCATTTTTTTGTACTATTTAGTAATAAGTGTTGCACGGATTAGTTGTTTGCACTCTATATTTCAAATATTTTTATAAAATGACCATATTCTAAGGTATTCTTTACCATATTTAAGACTATACTTTTTATCACATGACCATATATATTTAAGGGCGTCCTTGACCATATTTAAGAGTATCCTTTTTTCAAATGACCGTATTTAAGAGTATCCCCTGTATGACCCTGTGATTAGCAACACATACAACGCCATGAACACATGGACGCATAGAACACAAAGAATGCCTAAGACACAAGAACGCATAGAATACAAAAAAGCAAAAGCAGAGAGTACATTAAATATTGAAATTTGTTTATTTTTTAATGAATGACAGTTCCACAGATTGCATTACAGACAATTTAATCATGGGGCAAGCTTAAAGCTCCATAGTAGAGATTATGTTATTCTCTTTTCAAATTTGAATGACAAGAATAAGCTGTCCAAATGATTCTGTAAAGACTGTGGGGCAGACTAAAAAGTAGGGTTGGGGTCTAGGATTGGAAATATAAGAGACTTTACATGCTGGTAAAGTCCCAAACCCTCCCCTGCAGTTCCTGATGATTTCCTGACAATTGATACTAAAACAATCCTACAAATRCTTATTATTAGCAATAATTTTAGTATTATGAAAGTACATCAAAAATTAATTTTGCTTATTTTTAGAAAATATTTGGTAAATATTTTCATGGGTAAGCTTTAATTTATCTATTTTTGAGTAAAAGCTGATGTTTATCGAGCCAAAAAGCAGGAAATGAAAAATGTTGAGCTATGAAAAAATTGTTCGCTGACTGGCTAATTCGTTCTGGATTAGAGAAGCAAAATCACCTGGTAATAGAATTACTATCTATTACAGTTACCATGGTGACAAAWACAATCTGCAAGTCCATGGTAAAAGGGCAATATTTTGCATTAAGCGTACTGGTAAAGGGGTTTCATAATAGGTTCAATCTAAATATTACAGCAAAGAAATGCAATTTCAWGCAAGCAATGAGAAAAATTTAAATATCTGTCCTATTAGTCTTACTAAACTTGATTAAATGTATCTATTTTTAATAATAAGCATACATGTACAGTATATGAGAGTAGGATGGCACATGAAAKGTCTTATTCTATTATTTAGACTCTGGTTCTTTTACTTCTTCATACATTTTTTCCTCTTGTTCTGCATCCATACCACCTTCAGCRTGTGCTTTTTCTGTTTCAGCTGCATTTGGAATCCACAGCCCAGAGTCTACACACTTCTTGAGCCATGATCGTGCTTCTTCTTCTGGCATTTTACCAAGAACCTCTTGTAATAAGCCCACATCTTTCTTGTCAAAGCAATCCTGTAGTTCCTGTAAGTAGGGGGGAAAACACCATTACTACTCCTATCTTCTATTCTGGACCACACCACTGTA